ATGTGTTAGTTATATATTCTTCACTTCGTCTATACAATACATAAGAAATAGTTTGGTTGCAATAAAGTAGAATCACGTAACAGAATAGTTTTAGTTGACAAAAACTGAATCTGGCACTGACGCAAATATCCTATACCGGCTGCAAGAGACTTACACTTTTGTTGTATAACTGTTACCTGCAGCCCTTATACAAACTTTTAAATGACAGAAGTGTCCTATTAGGTGTGCCCATTCCGCTTGTATAGGTGTTCTAAGAGGGTTTTGCCAATGTTCTTACAGTATACAATGCTGTGTAATAGGTCGTCTACACGGGCCATAGAAAATGCAGATTTTTGAAAACATTGCCGGGTTATGTAGCCGGGCAGCATGGCCCAGCAACTGAATTTTTACATATTGCCAGGCCACATTCTGGACGAGTATGTCCGGACATCGTTCTGCAACATATGGCCATAGCAAATTTGCATTTACACTAGACAACATTCACACAAATAGTTGCTTTATCACCATGGATGATCTAGTGCTTATTGCGGCTGCTAGTATTGTGTTAAAAAGAAACCGAACACTAAAAAAAGAAAAAAGTTGTGGGTTAGGCCTTATAAGTAAAAGGCTTACTTTACAAAATCTAAGTGAAGAGTTATCTCTCGACAATTATTTATTCAAAAACATTACGAGAATGGATAAAACGGATTTTGAATTTTTACTAAATCGAATTGGACCGAATATTCGAAAGCAGGATACCAACATGCGAACAGCGATATCAACTACGACAAGACTAGCTATAACACTAAGATACTTGGCAACTGGTGAGAGCTTCAAAAGTTTGATGTATTTATTTAGGGTGTCTGATTCAGCTATTTCACTGATAAATAATCGCAGAAGTATGCAGAGCACTGGTGATAGGATTAAAAGAATTTATTCAGGTGAGTTAATATTTTTATTTATATTACTTCATCAGAAACAAAAGATATGCTAACTTAATAAAAGACACTAGCTAGATAAATTCGCTAGTGTTTTTCATTTAGTTTCGTCTTGTGAGAGTTTCTGCAGATTGAAACAGGGGAGGATCTTCGCTGCAGTAAGATTCCACCAGTGTACGATAGTTGGAAGCAATCGAAATATGTTTATACAAAACATTGTTAACATCCCACAATTCTGGACTTAAATGTATAGCGTTAATTAAATGTAAAGTCTTTTCGTTAGTCCAATTAGTCATTTTAAATTAAGAAAATTCACCACAAAACAACACTCGAATGACGCGCAGCTAAAGAAGTGAAGCGAGACAAATACAAAGATGGCTGAGCCATGTTGCTGAAAATTCGCAAAGCGGTCGATCTCTCGGCCACTTGCCGGCCAGTGTTGCCGCACTAAAGAAATGCCAGGATATATTGCTCGGCCATATTGCAATATTTTGGTTATATTGCCGAATGTGGCTGGCAAGTTGCGAGCCATCATCCGGCCATATGATGCCGCCTACAAAATGCCGAAAATTATGGCCCGTGTAGACGACCTATAAGGAATACTGTATAATCATTCTTGCAACTCTAATAGGAGTAATAATTGTTAGTTGGGCTTTGAATACACTATTTCAAAGATTGCCGAAACAACAAATTACTTTCATAGGGTTTCTCATAGTCTAAGTACATATACCAAAAAAGTAGTTTATAATACAATTATTCTCCACATTTTCTATATTGTTCAACGATCTTGTTCGCTGCCAATGGAGCCGTATTCTCAACATTTCAAGTTCTACTAAATAAAGCTATGAGAATAATATTGAATAAAAATAATTACACCAAAGTCGATATTATAAGAATTACAGTGGTTGAATATAATAAATTCCATATTATTATTTGGTTCTTATTTTTATATTTAAAATAAAATATCAACTTTTGCCACAACATTTAGACTGTTACTCATTACCAAAATTATTACACAAGAGCAAATACAGATTTCCATTTTCAAAATTGCAATAGTAAAATAACACAAATCAATATTTAACAAGGGATTTTTTATTTAATAAAATAAATACTTGTAATTTGAAGATGTTTAAAATAAAATTAACATAACATTTCACAGTGAAAATTGCCGTATTGTCAAGATCGCCGTTCAATGTAGCGACAAATTCTCCGCAAAAAGAAGGTAAGTGGATTCGGGCAGAAAATATGATAGGTAAGCCGAGCAATACGTATTTCTGCTGGATGTATTCATCAGGCCCGAAACAAATGCAACTACAAAAGTAGATACACATCTGGATGCGGGTGTAACCTGAGGAAATGAAGATGGGGAGGGAAAAATCACACACGAAGTTCACAACAAGAGCCAACCTACACATTGTGGTATAAAATGGCTAGAAGACCGCGAATTTTCAAGGCGACATCTAACCACAACCACGCTCTCCATCTTCGTATCCTCAGGTTACACCCGCATCCAGATGTGTGAGCATGCATTCGGGCCTGATGAAGCCATCCAGCAGAAATACGTATTGCTCGGCTTACCTATTCTATTTTCTGCTCGAATCCACTTTCCTCCTTTTTGCGGAATTTGCCCATTGTTTTCTTAGTTTTTGCTATATACCTTTCTCGGCATGATCATATTATATCTCTCTCTATAATATAAATATACACAGTGGCCCATCCATGTGTGGACGGAATATTACTCATAAACAAATACATTTTGGGAAAATCTATTTATAGCATGTTATACATGACATTTGAGGGCACATTTCTGAAATATTAACAATTATACAGGGTATCCCAATTTTGTCCTGCATATCAAAGTTGTGATTTTTTAAAAGCAATGCCTAAAATTTTATTGCATATTTGAATAAACCAATTCAAAAGAAGAAGATTGTTATAACATACTATGGGATTTTGGTAATTAGATACTGAGATGAAAGGTCTTTTGACCAGAACAATCGTCCACTTCGGCAACCACTCAATCCGCCATTTTTGAATTTGGAGTGCTGAATTTTGTATCTATAAAAACTTACACGTCTCAGCTTTCATCTTATTTGTTACTTTTTCGAATTTGTATTTTTGCTCATACAGGGTAGTCAAAAACGCGAATTGTACTTTTTATAAATGGATCACCCTGTATATTTCTGCAAGTTTGGATTCAATTTTTATAACCTTTTTTGGCATAAGGTTTAATACAGGTAAAATCATTAGATTTTGAGTTATTAAGCTTTTAATAGAACAGCACACCAAAATTTAGGAAAAAAATCACATCATCCATGGAAATAGACAAGCAGTGGGCTAGTTTCACATTGCCACTAAGAGTACAGATTTGACGTAAAAACTAACAACAATCAGAACAGTATAAATCAGCTTCAAGCGTAATAGGGAAAGACACTATAACAACAACATAAACAACTATTACTAGTCAAGACCTAAGCTGCAAAAACTGATCCAAAATATCTCCAACATGTTGGATACACAGCCGTTGTCTTTGGATAAATGACCATCGAACATCCCTCAGCATGTGTTTCGTTATGTTCAGAAAAGCATCCTTAATCCTTTCCTTCTTATTTTCCGGGGTAGATGGTGGATATCTATAAACCTCTTTCTTAACGTAGCCCCATAGAAAGAAGTCCATCGGTGTCATATCTGGTGATCTAGGAGGACAAGATATAGGCCCATCACGACCGATCCAATGATTGTTACTCCAGTTGTCCTAATAGTTACGCACACGAATATGATATTGCGCAGGTGCGCCATCATGTTGGAATTACATATGCATGCAAATTTGCAGGTTGACATCCTCCAAAAGCAAAGGCAAATTCTCGATCAAAAAATTCAAGTATCCTGTACCTGTTGATCTGTTGTCAAAAAAGAAAGGCCCGATAACTTGACTGCCAATAACTCCTCCCCAAGCATTCAAGCTCCATTTATTTTGGAAAACTATTTGCCTAACCCAGTAAGGGTTTTCCGTCGCATAATAGTGCATGTTATGCGTGTTGACAACATATGCTGTTAAAAGTTGCTTCATCGCTAAAAAGAACCTTATCCAGGAAATTCACTCACTTTATTTATGAGGGTGCCGTTGCTTATAAATGTGAGATGCTAGGAAACTAACGCCATATATACCATTTCTTCTTTAGAAAAATTCATTTTCAAACACGTTTTTATTATAATGCTCACAAAGCAAATTTTGACAGTTAGTATCTAATCAACAATTTATTTGTTTCCAATGATGATGCGATATTTTAGGGAATTAAGCCCTTCCATAAAAGACGTGCTAATAACCGAAAAAATAGCCGTAAAAACCCTCATGTGTCTAGTATCAAAAAAAAGCTTATAAATAATTGAATTCAAACTTGCACAAATATATTTGAAATTTTTGCGAAAAACTACAATTTGCGTTTTTGACCAGTAGTAAAAGCTGAGGTGTGTAAGTTCCTTTTGATACAAAATTCAGCACTCCATATTTCAAAACAGAGGACTGAGGGGTTGCCGGTGTGATGGGTTTTTCTAGACAAAACACCTTATATCTCAGTAGCTAATTACCAAAACCTCATAGTATGTTAATTAAAATTTGAGGCATTCCATTTGAAAAATCACAAACTTTGATATGTAGGTCGAAATTGGGACACACTTTATAATGGCCAAAATTTTGGAAATGTGCTCTCAAATATCATGTATAACATCCCATGAATAGATTATCCCAAAATATATTTGTTTATGAGTAATATTCCATCCACACATGGATGATCCACCCTATATATATATATATATATATATATATATACAGTGACAGTACACCCTGTACTTATTCTCCATATTTCGTCTTATACATCAAATTCTGGTGCTCCATTTTCAAGATTTCGGACATTTAACCCAATGCATACCAAAGTTTTGGTGTTCAAACTGGGTTCAAACCCCCATACAATATACACGTTATGTCTAAATAGACATAGTATGCCGCGTACATATTTGTCAATCTAGTGAGCCACTGTCAACGTGACACCAATTTGGCAAGAGCAAGGACTTATTTTGCTGTCAGCTTCATTGAACTGCATACTGAACCGCTTGAGAAAATGAACAAAATTTCGGAAGATGAATGCAACGAGGAATGTAAGAAGGTATTGGAAGAGAGGATGAATAGGACGAAGCTATTGCGTAATTTTTTCCAAAAGCAAAAATGCGATCCATTTAGGCATATGAAAAACGAAGCAGGTGCAGTCGTGAGTAGATTCATCTCCTTATTTTTGTATGCGAAGTAGCTTTGCATGTGCTGAAACGAATTCACGTATAACATTTTTCCCACTCCCAAGACGTACAACTAAGTTTTTGTTAATAGCAAATTTTGATAGTTCTTATTTAATTTTTCAAGGCCGTCTCAAAAGTTGAAGAAAGATGAGGATTTGAGTTGAAACTCTATGAAATGTGTATACAAAATAACTTCAGCCGTGGCCAATTTGTGCAACCCCCGAATATGCTAAAGCACAATACTGGATGTTTCAGAATAATCCTACTGATGTAAAAACAGCTTTCCGTTAAGCAAACAAAAACAGCAAATAATTAAAAAAACACAACTCAGCCCTAGTCACTCATTTCCGTCAATCTATCTGTATGTCTGCTGCTCTGTGTGTCTGTCCGATAATCCTTAGCCCCGCTGCACACTTGACGCCATGTTTTGTACTTGGTACAACAGGCAATTCTCAAAAATGACAAGGCGATCGTTTGCTTGCAACTTTTAGTGATTTGCTTCATATTGGAATACTCACGAAAAAAAATGTCAGTTCTAGTTCTAAGAAAAACATGCATCTTTTATAACTGGTAATAATAATGTCTTTGACTTATAGCAGCCTTTAAAAGACTAGCTGGAGTCGAATTTTATGAGTTCCTAAACGCAACTTCAATAAAAAATCATACAAGCAGTCAGGGCTTAGAACATCCATGTCTTCTAGAAATACACAAGTCATGAGTAGTTTTTAGACAGCAGAAGTATTGATAAATAATATTTGGAGGAACATATAAAAATGAGACACTGTAATGGGCTATTTAAAAATATTTAATGTCATGCACCGCTACGGAAGTAGGTATAAGAAACTGTGAGCAATACAATATTTATATTATATGACGGTAGGTTATTATTTAATCTGAAGTTTGAAACACTCTTGTATTTGAGCACAAAATTATGTACAAAATATACGTCAAATGGCATATATCTTAGACATTCTCGTATCTTCTTGAGCAAAGATCTTAATCTTTAAACTAAGGGATAGCTAGCTTTAGACGCTATACCGCATCTGTTTCCAGCATTTTTGGCTAATTTCATGTAACCACCGATACCCCATTGTGGTCCATACGAGTTCTTGATGATCCAGTATTCGCGTCCGTCTGATTCACGACCATAGCCCACCTAAAACAGACGAGTAACAAGTATATTTTCAAACAAGTACAGTTTTTAACAAGTACAGTTTTAAACAAGTACATTTTTATAAAATACAAATAACCAGACTACAATAACTGAAAAGAACGAAGATTTAATTGTGCTGTCAAGAAAAATCTAGGGACACCACATATGTCAAAATCCGTCAAGTCGTTTAAGGTGTAGTCCCTGAATTATTAATTTCAAGATTGAATTCTTTTATTAAAATCCGCCATTTTGTTATTATAAACTTTTGATATACCGTGTGTCACTCGCACTGTCAAGACAAATCTAGGCACCCAATATTTCAAAATCTATTAAATAGTTTAAGTTGTAGCCCGTGAAATGAGAATTTTGAGGTCGAACTTTTTATCAAGATCCGCTACTTTATATTATAAAATATTTACTAAGCCAGTGTCGCTCGCACTGCTAAGACGAATCCATTATATGTCAAAATCCATCAAACCGTTTAGCCTGTAGCCCGTGAAATATTTTTTTCGGATACATACATACATACCCACGCGTGAAAAACATATAATAGTAATAATAATAATAAACCGTCTTTTATTTTCAAATAAAATTCAGTATAATATAAAAAATATATATACCATTGGCGAAGTCTAGCTGACAGATACTCTACTCAACCACTGGAGGGGATCACCCAAATAATCGAATAATTGAATTTTTTATTAAATAATATGTAATTACATATGTCAAAATCGATGAGGTAGACAGAAAAAGTATACATATGATGAATGACATAGAGCAACACAGGCATTCGCAGTAAAACAAAGATGTACAGATTAAGCTTTTAACTTTTAAAAACTATACAGGGCGTACAAAGAAAGGAACAACACATTCTATGTTAAACAGATCTAGCCACACTTTTGATATCAATATTGCTTTCCTGTATACAGGGTGACTTCGAAGTTGAGTCATTTATTTTAACAGTGAGTAGATCTGATCAAAAGAAATATTTTTTCCTTTACCATTTTTCTGGTAAAATTAAAGTAACAAAGTTATAGCCATTTGGAAGTTTGAGTACCGCCCTGTCTCAATAATAATATTATGTGTTCGTGTTTGGCAACAACGGATATAATCCGCCTTATCGGTTCATCGCATCGGAAACGAAAAAGCGGAAGAATTTGGAACGATGTTTTTACAATTATTTTATTCAGTTGTATACAGTCAGTGTCAGTCGGTAACGCGTGAGTGAATAGTGGTGTCTGTTGCGTGGCTCAAACGAAATAAAAAATGGCACATGTTTATGCGGATCGGTTTCCCAATCGAGTGCAACCAACCCCTCGTGCCTTTGTTAATGTAGTACAACGGGCTCGTGAATCAGGTGACTTAAGACCTCACAGGGGACGGCATGCCGGTGCTCCAAGACCTCATGATCAAATACAGGTCCGCACTGAAATACTTGTCGGGAGGATACTTTATAAAACAAGGTAAAAAATTTTTTTAATTTATTTTTTATTTTTACACACATATTTTGGTTTATCTTCCTTCTACAATCATTATCTGAAAATTAATGACTCAACTTCAAAGTCACCCTGTATATACATATTCATTCATATACACATGTAGACACATATATAAGAGTTACACAATAATAAATGAATAACAAGTCGAATATACAACATTGAATCATTGATCCTACTGCATATCAAACAAATAACCTTTTAGTTTGAATTTGAACTTGTTCATATTAAGAAGCTTGAATTCTTGTGGCAGCTGATTATACATCCTGATAGCATTATATATGAACGATCTTTGAAACATGGCGGTCTTATGCTGCGGAACGGTGTAGTTCAATTTTGATCTTATATTTTGATGGTGAGTATCTTTACGAGGTATGAAATGTTTGATCAGACCTGGAGCATTTGGAGTGTTGACTAGTTCATGCGTAAAATTACACAGGTGAAGGAGTCTCCTATTTTTCATGTTAAGTCATTCACACTCTCTGATTTTGTGTGATATGGGGTCATACTTAGTAATTCCGTATACCAGCCTATCCCTCTTTCTGTGCCAGTCGGACAAATAGATATTTTCGGATACATACATACCCACGCGTGAAAAACATAATCCCTCTTTCTGTGTCAGACGGGTAAACCTAGAGACATCTCGTATGTTAAAATTCGTCAAGGCATTTGGACTCTATCCCGTGTAATATGATTATTTTTGTCAACATACATATACCCTGTTTCATTACTATTCGTCACGGTAGAATGACAGCTGGTTATAGTAATATTTCAAAATTCCTCATATCGACAAAGGACACATAGTTCTGACGGATCCGTCAATCCCAGGTAGACAGCTATATTTTGTTTTGTTGTACGCTACAGCCTTTAGAAGATGTTAAAAGCTTTTTTTGTAAAAGTTCATTTGCCAACAAAAAACAAAACCCTACAAACAATTTTTTGCTAGATTTACACCCGATTCATTATAGCCAACGTTGCAGACAACAAAAATGTCACTATCTGATCTACTGTTCACCTCCGTAGACGTCAAAGCATGATGGATACTCGTGAAATAGGGTGTAGATACACGAAAAACATAACCCTCCTTTTGAAGAAGTCTAGTTATAATCTTCCCCCCTGAGGCAATACGATGAAAAATGTTTGGAGTTTATTGTAACGGTTCCAATAATCGTGTCGTTCGGAAATGAATGTTCAATTCGACCGCGAATATACAGGGTTATCCAAATTAAGTGTTCACCATTAGTAACTTTGTTATTAGTGAAAATACAAAGTTGTTTGAATTAGCAAACTAGTAGCATTTTTAACGCTGGTAAAAATGAGAAATAAAAAAAAACAATTGAGAGTCGTTATTTTGATTTTTTTCAGTAAAATAACATTTTTTTAAATGGAAACCCCTGTATATTATATTTTTTTCTGTTAAAGCATCAAATTTTAAACAAAAAAGTTTATAATGACTTTTCCGCTAAAGTCAAAAATAAAGTCAAAATAACGATAAATATTTTTAATTATTTGCAGTATTATAATATTAAGACGGCTATGAAAACAACATGGCGTTCGCGATTTGACAGCATTAAGATAAGCGACAAATTGTTAAACTGGACATACTCGCAACTAGAAGGCTTTGGAAAACAATGATAAAATCAAATAATGTCAAACATTAGTGTAAATACTTGTTTATAAGCTTTATTGTGTCATTAATTTAAAGAAAAATGTTCTCCCATGAAGAAAAGTGTGATATGTTAGAATGCTATTTAGTGTGCAGAAAATCCTCCTTGAGAGCAAGAGAATTATATCCCGCTCGCATTCAACCGTATGAACGATATTTTCTGAGACTTTATCGAAAATTTAGGGGCAACGAAAATGTTTTTGCTAAAACAAGGGCAAAAAAAGAATTCATAATAAGCGAGGCCACGGAAATTGCAGTTATTGGATATTTTTAAGCTTATCGTGAGAATTCAATAGCAGATATTCTCAAGGACTCTAATTTCAGTTATGGTACTGTTCAAAGGATTTTAAAAAAATACAAATTTATTCCGTATAAGTACCGACCAGTTCAAACGCTTTTGGCAGGGGATCCAGAGAGAAGACTTGTTTTTTGCCATTGGTATCTTAGCTTCTGTCGCCAAAATGTAAATAACTTTCGTTACCTTTTATGGACAGATGAATCAAATTTTTCAAATTCTGGAATGTTTAATAGAAAAAACCACCATTATTGGTCAAGAGAAAATCTTTTGTTAGTACATCCAAGAGGCCCACAAGTCCGTTTCAGTTTCAACGCTTGGTGCGGTATAATTGGTTCAAAAATTGTTGGCCCGTTCTTTTATGAGGGAACCCTAACTGGTGAAAGATATGTGGAATTTATGTCAGAAATTCTGACTAAGTTCTTAGACGAATTGGATCTTATAAGTAGACATCATCTGCATTTTCAGCAAGATGGCGCACCTGCCCACAACTCCAGAGGTACTTATCATTTTCTAAGTACTACTTTTAATGATCAGTGGATAGGAACAAATGGCCCAATACAGTGGCCTCCCAGATCACCAGATCTAAACCCACTTGATTACTTCTTGTGGGGTTACTTAAAGAACCAAATTTACAAGCGAAGGTACGATAACCTTGACGCGTTAAAGACTGCAGTTAGGGAAAAGATAACCCAGATAGATGGTAGGACCATACTTACG